CCCTGATCGCCCCCAGGGATTAAGCAAGGGAGCAGTTAGGACAAGCTGTTGGGAGGGCAGGCTTTCGTTGGGTGGGGATTGTCTAAGAAATACCACATTAATAGACATTGACAGAAATATTCCCATAGAATAAAGTAGTATATTTGTATCTTATGAGTAACATACTCATTTTTCTTTCTCTGAAGACTCTCACTCTTGTCTGTGAATGCTTTCACGTACGTTAATTTTTCCCAGGTACTTGGAATGAAAGATGTTTGCCTTTCATATTCTCTCAGCAAGGAAAGTTAAATCACTTTAAGCTTGACAGGCTGAAAGCAAAGTTGTTAAACATTGTGCTAACTCCTTTTACTTAGTGGCTCTGAGAGAGAAAGGTTTCAGTGCAGTTCGATGATATAATTAACAGAACAAGTAGTTTTAATTTCAACTTCTCTGATCAGTTACCTTCTGCTTGGAGGCCCTTTGGCAACAGTGCGTGTTGTCCAGGGTGTGCCTCAGCTATCTTTGCCTCTTGAGGAATTTCTAGTCAGCCCAGCTAGAGTTCACGCTGACTTACAAGATGGATTACCTTGGAAGATTAAAATATATTTATAGATTATACATACAGGATCAAAGTTCTGAACACTGAGACAAAGTTGTTTATAATAAACATACCTGAATCATTTGCTGACTGTGCAACAATGTTTATTACTTGAAATATTCTTTCAAGGAGAAAAATCACGCTGTAGTCTCAGTGTAGACAGAGAAACGACAAAGATGAGTGTGAGAAACAAAAATAGAAGATGATGCTTCCTGCTAACAGGGTTTCTGTCGCTATGCCTTCCCACTGCTCGACACACGTTGTTTAACTCTCCTTAATTTTCAGTCTGCAGGGATGATGGCATAGCTGTGCAGACCGGATTGAGAGCGTGGAAGTGAGCGTGTCGTGTTACTCGTTACCGAGTGTATTCACAGTTCTGGCTGCTAACGCAGGTCTTTGGATTTTGCAGAGATTTTTGTTTAAAATGCTTCTGGAGTGTGGCTATTAGCTCCACGGTGCCGGCAGTTTCCTGGCAGTTCTCACTGCGGGAGGTGCTCGGTGCAAACCTGCTGCTCTCTCCTGGCTTCGGTTGACTAAACAATGAAACTGGGGGCACGTTGAATGCCACAGAATTAGGTGCAAAAAGAAGGTAAATTATCCTATGAATTATTCTGCCAACTACTGATCTAAAAGAAACCCCTGGATTTCTGTGGCAGTAGTCTCCAGCCGAGTGATGGCTCCTCAGAGACTTGAAATAAATCGGCGGCAAAGTCACTCAATTCTCGTTTCCCCAGAGCGTGTTCCCACAACGGCGCGGCTCCACCAGTGCTGTTTTAGTGCCAGGGTCACAGAAGTGACTCTGAATGTGCAATAAAGTCTTTGTTTTTTGGTAACAATCTCAGTAACTCTTCCCAGTCCCTTGAGCAATAGTTTCACTGTTGCCTTAAATAAAAATTAAAAAAAAAAAAAACAGAACAAATGCTCGTGTATAAAATCCTTACGGTGCTCTTCTCAAACCACTGTCACCATGCTCGCTGTCTAGGCTGGAGTTTTGCTCCCATCAGCACAACAGGTGTCCCCTCTTTTTCTTTCATGTGTCATCCATTTTAAACATTCCTAACAGAGCAGAGGCAAAATTAAGATGTGCTGTCTTCTATTAAATAGCTGCTTGTCTGCAGTATGTCCCCAGTAGCATCGTTAGCCTTACAAGGCTTAAAGAAACAACAAGTTTTGAGCAGTTGAGTTACTGAGCGGTTTTTGTTCCTTTCTTTTGCAAGAGAAACTATCCAGTTTTGAGGACAGTGTTTTGTAACCGAGTATGAGCACCAAAAATCTGTAAAAATCATGGACCATTGCTAAGGAGAAAGCCTAGAAGGAGTTTTAGGAGCAATGAAGCTGGATGGGAGTGTACGCTGCCTCCTGGAGTTGCAGGTCTTGCCTCGCTGATGGCTGGTATGAGTGGAGCAGGCATGAGCCAGCGCTTTTCATCTCCTCATCCTCGGCAGAGGAAATGGCAAGACTAGTCCCTACATGATCACCTCTTTTCTCGTCTTACTGTGGTCAGCTGCTTGAGAGAAATCTCTTTCCCCAGCATGATGGCTGCAGATTTGTCGGGCAGGTAGGACTAACTCTGCTTTTATATCTTCCCCGGGAGGAAACGGTTGGCTTGAAAAGAGGGGATAGAGTGTTTTTGCACAACACTATTGCATTTGTTAAAAAGTTGACTCCAGCCTTTTCTTAGAAGTTGAATTTTTTAACCTAAGGAGAAAATTACTCATTTAGTCTGACCACTGGCATGAACAGATCCCCTCTAACTTCATCCCATGGCACCCATGTCAAGCCCATAGCACCTGGATGGGCTGTAAGATCTCACATTTTTATCTTCAGTTTCCTCCCCCTGCCATTTCCAAGAAGCATTCGATAGTTTTTGTGTTGTGCTTTATGAGGAAACGATTTTAGACACACCAGAAGGAGGGAGTAATAACGGAGCGAGCGGTGGCAGAGGAGCCATTGTAGGGTGCTGGGAAGGGTCTGGGCGGTGGGATGCTCTTACCGTGTCTGGGCTGGTTTGGGCAGGTGGGCGACTGTACACGGCAAGAAACTAATACGAATATTTAGGTGTCTAGGTTTCATCATTTTATATTCAAAGCATCTCAATTGGATGCTATTAAGAAAAATCAGTGAATGTAGGCATGGGTCATAGGACAAATTTAGAGACAACCTGAATTTAGAAGTGTGCTTGCTCTTCTGCTGTTTCGTGGCAAACTGCAGAATCTGCAACAGCTTTTTTATTTTTCAATTTTCATCAATAGATGCTGGTGCCATGGAGGTCATTAGCGCTCAGTTGATGGCACCAGTGCTAGCTCTGGTCCAGGGAGTGTTGCAGGGCTGTAGAATGGTTTTAAAAGAGTCATAAAGGCTCGAAGGAGCCCAGGCATCTTGGATTCTTCTAGCCACACTACTTCAGTGTCCTTTGGACAGTAACATTCACTAAGCTGATGGTTTTTCAGCAGAGATATGGTTTTTATTAAAGAAACAAAACCTGAAATATCTTAGATTATCACTGGAAAGAGGGAATTTATTACAATTAAACAGTCAAGCTAAACAAAGCATCAAACACCAAATCTCCAAATGTGTCCCAAGTGCACAATTTTAATTAACACAAATCCGATCCAACTT